AGTTACATGATGTTACATGTTAAAACTATGTGCTTGTGTGAAATGATATGTTTATTGTATGTGTTGATGTATAATTTAAATTATATAAGCTTACCCTTTCGTTTCCTTGTGTTGTCGCCTTGTATATGTACGTTCGTCCTGTCATTGCAATGATCATCCGTGTGGATGTGAGCAGATGGAGGTGCGTCGCTTGAAGAAGTGCTAGAAGAAGAAAATTTGGAAGACGCTAATCTGGTGGATGTAGAAGTTAAAGCCGAGCCTTAGAGCGCTCGCGGGTGTCTGTAGTTAGCTTTATTAATGTTATTTCGAACGTTCGGTTATAGTTTTGTAAGACCGTTCGTCCCTGAACTCTTGCTTGTATAAGCGTTCGTTATTTCTGCATGATTATGCCGTTCGGCATTTTGACGCTCGTTCAGATTTGTAAGACTGCACTGTTTTATATGATTAATGTAATTAATTCTGATTATGGTAATTACTATATTTTGGGATGTTACACATCCTTATATTAACTTTCAAAATAAATACTTAATTGGAAAAATATGTTCACATATAATGAATAATATATGTTGTTAAAATAAAAAATTATTATTTTTTGGTTTCAGAAGATAGAATGAAGTATTAAACAAACGTCATGGACCGAATAACTTAATAGTATTTGTAACAACATAGTTTAGGTATAGTTAGTGTAAAAGAGGGAAACGATGAAAACAAGTTGGGAAATGATACTTTAACAACAGGTTTTGACAACATTTTGACACGGGACAGGTGTCAAAATGTTACTGGTTCACGTGGATAATTAATTGAAAATGTTAAATGACGTGGAAAGGGAGTGCAGAAGGGGTTTCAAGTTTGCCGGTTTCAATTTCAGTTTTCAGAATTTAAAATTGGGAGATTCGTAGAGAGAGAAGAGAAGCTTGAGAGAGAGAGAGTCGAACCCTAGATAGAAAGGTCCAACGGAGAGCTGCTGGAGTGCCGCCGGAGTTCCGACGTTCGGTAGGATTACGGAAAACGTTGAACATTGTCGTATTTCTTCCACCCAGCCAGCCAGTTCCGATTGAGGGTCGCCGTAGCTCCGACGTTCGCAGACGAAACAAAGACGGCATCGTCTTCCCTCCGACCCAGCCAACTAAGGGTGCGTTTTGAGTCTTGATTCCTCCCACTCGCTTCCTTCCCTGTTCCGGACCCTTGTGGTGGCCGCCTGAGCATCGCCGGAGTGTCGCCGGACCCTTTCAAGGTATGGTTTAGTGTGGGTTGAAGTTGTGTAGAAGATTTAGTGGTTGATGACATTTTTGGGTGGAAAGTATGAAGTTTTTTTCTAATTTTTTTGACCATTTTACTGGTTTAGTTCTTTTGACACAATTATTATGCCATTTATATACAATTTCATGTCCAAGGAACCATTTTTTGTAAAACTCATGGTGCAGAAACTGCAGTGGTAGCAAAGACAAAATAAGTGAGGACTTCAGGCACAACCAGGTCAACTACATTGCTGGTACAACACTTGCACACTCCAAGCCAACCAAACTTGTAAGTTTTTAATGCTTATTTCTGCAAATAAAAAATTTTATTGTTTCATTGATATGTTAAATAACATTATTTGTATTTTGGACTTTGTTTGATGTAAGTATGATTGTGGAGTTATTGTTTTGAGATTAATGGAATTGTGGGATGTCGCTGAGGAATACCAAAGCAACACAATGCCCACCTACATAACTGTAAGGTATAAAAATTTTCATTTTTTTTGGGAGCTTTCATAAATAAATAACAATATGATTAAATATAATATGGTAGATAGTATTCGTCGATACATAATAAATAGACTCATTTAATAAATTAGTTTAAGTTAAAATGAAGGCATTGTTGGGTATGTAATTTAATTTAAACATTTGATACAAGTCTGAACTGATTCCTATAGTATGAATGATGATAATTTCTGTTGTGTTTCTTCGTCCACACATATTTTATGTACCTTTGATTATTTGGCTCAAACAGCTGTAAATTCTAAATTTCCAGAAGATGAGCTCGACTGAAGAACGCATCGTAGAATATTGTTTTATACAGTATTTCGCATGCTTGTGTTACAAAATGCTTTCAGCCATCAGATGGTGTTTTTTTTTTTCAACCATCTCTAGGCACGAGTTATGGCAAGGTACTTTTCCATCTAAGAATGATATAGCATTAGTTCTCTATCACACGTTCACATAAACAAGAAGAAAAACTTTCTGAGCTTCTGACTACAATATCGTGTTTTAAGGTATCCTCAGAATGAATGATTTTCTAATATAGCTTCTTATCGTCATCATCAGCAATTCATGACTTACAAAAAAAAATATCATCAGTACAATTGCCTCAGCAACACAATACTCAAACCACGAGACATGGTATACGGAGTGAATGAAATTTACCTGCCACGTGAATGTTCACAACCCAAAAGTACGTTGTGCCTAGGGTTAAGCTGAATTCTTGATACTTAAAAACAGACTTTTTTTGTTGCCTGGAAACATATTGTGATGGTACCCGTACATAAAAACTCTAATCCAGATCTAGTTTCTTCTTCATACTTTCATAGACCACATAAGTAATGCTTACAGCCGGCACAACTTTGAGGAGATTCGGAAAGAGTCCCTTGTAGAAACCTATAAAGCCTTCAAGCTGAAAAGTTCTCCGAAACGCATCAAACATCCCCTTGTACGCATCGGAAGTGTTGGAAGGTTGTGCCTGCAGTCTGAGAAATATGGTAATGTAAGATTGTCAATAAAGAACATCCATAAGATAAAAATTAATACCATCTTTAAAGAATGCGATTGATACCATCCTTCACCCCATCAATTCTTTTGGGGATGGAGAACAAAGAAACAGTAATACTGACAAGCGAAAAAAATACCTTGTTCGAATAACCTGCAGTGGATAGACACAAGTAGCTCCAACAGCCCCAGAAATTGTCCCACATCCTAGTTGTACTAGAGGACCAGGTTCTATGAAGGAGAAAAAAGAGTAAAAGGTCTCACTCCAAGGAGAAAAACTTTCAAGAGTTAATCTATGGTAAAAAAAATTGAAGCTGTTTATAAAATCAGCCAATTCAGGAGATTTTGTGGCTGCAGTAATAACATACCACTGTCCTGAAGAATATAACTCTTGGACATATCTTTCAAAGTATCATAAGCAGTGAGATCAATGGCTGCATAGGGAATAATGCCAAGCAGTGATGGAACAAGTCCTCTGTAGAAAGCTCGAGGTCCCTCTTGAACCCATATATTCATTGTAAGGGTTCCCAGCTTTGGAACCTTTCCACCTTCAGAGGGACAAGTCTGTAACCTAGTTTTAATGAGATCCATTGGATAGATAGCAGCCTGTGCAACTGCACCAGCCGTACCACCTGCAAAAAGCCTCCCAGCAGCACCAATATCTGACTTGCTGCCTTGAGCCTCACCAATTAGCTTTTTCAGCATTTCAAAAGCATAAAATTTGATGGCACTTTCTGGAGCTACCTTCACAATATTCAATCCATTACCCCGGAAAAATCCTAACAGACCATCTTGCTTCAATATCTTCGTCACTGCTGGCATGATAGAAGCATGTGCAGTTTGAACTTGTAAAACCACCTTCAGACGATCAAGAGGAGCAGTTGCTGTACGAGAAATGCCTCCTGCTACTCCACCAGCAAGAAAGTATTTGCTCCTGTTCGCATGTTTGCTGATGCCTTCAGGAATGACAGCTTGCTCTCCAATGTCAACAAGGCACACCCTCTCCCAATGATGATAAATATTTTCAATAGTTGCTTCATGAGGGTAAAGTAGAAGAAAATCTCTCCATTCTTCGAAAGTGATAATTCCATTGTTATCCTTATCAACATGGTCCACAAAGCGAGCAAGCTCCTCATCATCCATTTCAATCCCTGGAGCATTGAAGCTGCACAAGCTTATTATAAATGCTATTAGGGAGAAATAGAGAACACTGAAAAAGCTTCCGCAAAAAGGCATAAAGAACATGAAAAAACCATCTTCAAAAACCACTAAAAGTACACATATTAGAGCAGAATATGGCACACCAAAAACCAAGAAAGCACAGAAGTAACAAACACTTTACAGAATCCATCATAAAAAAACTGAACCAGCCTTCCCATATTTCAAGCATCATGCAGATCCAAAGAATGAACCCAAACTAAAAAGTACAAATGACACAATTAAAAAGACACATCTCAAGTCTCTCTAACTCTAACATTCTTTATGCATAATCGTTCTGATTGGCAACAATTGTCCGTAAAAAAAGTAAGCAAACCTCTTTCCAATTACTGAATCAACAAATCTGTTTCCTACTTAAAAACAGGAACCATGATTGATTAACAATTTTTTTTAATAACTTTTTGAAAATAGACTATATGTATTATTTTTATTTATGAGTCATTATTTTATTAGTACGTAAACTACCACTTGTTGTAAAGATGTCAAAATAAGTTATTAAAAACATTTACCTTATAAAAAACAAGTTATCAGCCAGCCAAAACATCAAATGCCAATGTCTTACCTCAACTCTCGTTCGCTGTGTTCCAAATTTGATTTCAAATTACCTTAATTTTGTAAGATAAGTTACAGTAAAATTAAATTTGAATAGTAAAATTTAGTATAAAAACTCAACTAAACAGAAAAGCTACAGCTTCTATGTTTTTGTTCATGTTTGCTTTCATGAACAAGCTTGATTGATTCTAACAAACATAAACTAAACACGTTTAGTTTTTGCAAAATTCTTATTGGACAGCACTAACTCACTGTTTGGGGTTAAAAGTCTGTAAACATTTCCATGAAAAGAAAATAAAAAAAAATACTTTTTTTTAAGTAAAATCAATCAACTATAGTTATCAGCTTTTAATGAAACTTAATAATTATAAAATTTGAATACGTAAATTGAATTCACTTTACCTTTTAGTTTCTATTTTTTAATCCTACACCGAAGAGTAAGTTACCCATTATAAAAAGAAGTTTCATTTGAGGAGCAGAAATGGCTTCGGAAACCTAAATAAATAGCACTACCAGCTTTAAGAAGGGCTTCGTAGAGCTCTTCAGGGATAATGGTGCCATCGTGTTCAACATCAATGGCTTGGAAGATGCGGTAAAGCTCCAACTCCTTGTCGTCCATGTAGCGGCGGAACTCGTGGTACTCCACTCTTCCATCGCTGTTGGCGTCACAAACGTCGCAGAGCTCCCTGGCGTACTTGTACTCCGGCGGAATCTGCAGCGCCGACAAACCGGCCTCTATCTGAGCGACGTCCAGGTAACCGTTGTTGGCGGCGTCGAAGAAATTGAATAGGCTCCTAATACGAACCTCCCTCTCCTCCTTCGTCTCCCCCAACGCCACGAGGAGATGATCCATCGAAACGACACCGTCTCTGCTCATACGACCATTCCAATTCCAGATCTGAGCCTCCGCGGTGGTTGGTCCGAACCGCAGTGTAGCAAATACGGCAAAGGGGAGAAACAAGTCAAAGTTGGTTGAACTGAAACAGTGGAGATCGAGAAACTGCAAGTAGGTGGGACGTTTCTTTATTCCACCATTTTAGTTCAGATATTATTTTACCCTATCTCATATCTCCTCTTTTTTTTTTTTTCGGTGTTTAACACGACGATCGAAAAGGAAAGGAGGAAAAGGGATTTAATTGGATATTCCTCTCTCCAACATTCTGGCGTGCCAAGCTTTTGATTTTGTATAGACTATAGTAGGTGGTCCATAAGTTTTTTCTTTCTTATTTGTTCATTTGAATTTATTTGAGAAACAACGATAGAATAGATTTGAGAGAATTAGTGAATTTAAAGGTACCTATGAGCGAATTTGAAAGTAAACTTGATAAGAATTAGTGTAAAATTTGATTTATGTGATAGATTAGAAAAAATTACTTTCAAATTTATTCTCAATTATCTCCAAATTCATTCAAATAAATAACAAAACAATTTATCTTCAAATTCCCTCAATCACTCTCTCCCAAAATTCATTTAAGTGAACAAAGGGTTAATGCCGACTAATTTTTATCCTAAAACAAATTTTTATTAAGATTCCCGTTGGCTCAAATAGCTTGTTGAAATTGGAAAGAAATGGCCCAATGGGGGCAACAATTAGTTCTCATCTTATCAAATAAGTTTGTACAAACGGTTGGACTCACTCACTCTTAAGCACTTAGTAGACTTATTGATACTATAAATACAAACATACTTCTAATCTTTACCTCTTCTTCTATCTCAGTTTTAGAATCCTTTTAATTTGGATTTGAGGTGTTCTTAATTCAACTTTTTCCTTATTCACCTTAAAATTTGGTTTTCTTGTAATATTTGATATATTCAATTGACTTAGTTGACATAAGTAGATATTATAAATAGAAATAACAAATAAATATATCTATTACTTAAATTTGTTTTGTGAAATTTTTACGTTGACTAATTATAAGTATGAATAATACTTAATTTTTTTTAATTAGGTACGGTAACGGAATATATATATATATATATATATATATATATATATATATATATAAAAGTTGAAAATAAGATTGATTTATTATTCTCAATCATAAAAAGTACATTATCATATCCTCTATTTGTAATAATCTAATTCTCTTAAAAAAGGAAATAAGGAAACTAGGAAAACAAAATAAAATAAAAGATTATATATCTATATATTCTAATTAGGAAGATTCTAAAGATATTTTCTCTAATTACAACACTCTCCCTCAAGTTAGGAAATGAATATCAATCATTCTCAACTTGCCTACAAGATCTTGAAATCTACCCGGAGGAAGTCCTTTTGTAAAAATATCTGCTATTTGAAGTTTTGTAGGAACATGAGTTGTAACCACAAATCCTCTGTCAAGATTATCTTTGATGAAATGTCTGTCAATTTCAATGTGTTTAGTTTTGTCATGTTGTACTGGATTGTGGGCTATGCTCATAGCAGACTTATTGTCACAGTGTAGTTGCACCGGGTTTTTCACTTTGACTTTAAGATCATCCAAAATGATTTTCATCCAGAGTCCTTCACACATTCCTTGAGCAAGGGCTCGAAATTTAGCTCCTGCACTAGAACGGATACTCTATCTTGCTTTTTGCTTCTCCATGTTACCAGACTATCTCCAAGAAATACACAATACTCAGAAGTATATTTTCTGTCAGTAATAGAATCTTCATAGTCCGCATCAGTATATATCTTCATAGTCAATGTGTTTTCCCTTTTGAATAATAACCCCTTTCCTGGACTTGACTTCAAGTATTAGAGAATTTTGTCAACTGCTTGCATTTGTCTCTCTCTTGGATCATGCATAAATTGGCTCACTACACTCACAGCATAAGCAATGTCTGGTCTTGTGTGTGATAGATAAATCAATTTTCCTACCAATTTCTGATATTGGGCCTTCTCTATAGGAGCACTTTCTTCACTTCCAATTCTATGATTCTGTTCTATAGGAACTGTT